GACTGATGCACTTGTATTTTTTATTAATATAAAAAATACACCTAGAAATTTAAGAGCGTAAAAAAATACACGCTCGTGTCGAGCGTGTTAATCACGTTTGTCCAACGACAGAAACAAAAATTCCACAACAACAACCGAAACAACTACGCAGCTAAGTTGACGAGAAACGCTCAAAGTAACGTGTTTTTGACAATTTTTCGAGACGTTCGAGACGGTGTCAGTCCCTGCGGACCGACACTTCATTATTCGTTTAGCCGGTGTCGGATACGTGTCGAGTCTGAAAAAGACATTCGTTCCCTTTCATCGAATCAAAAAAGAACAATCAGTATCTGGCGATCGGAAGAAATCGGGAAAATTCCGCTCTCCGTTTGCGACGGAAACGCGTGCGAGCCATTACGTTGTAATACGCAGACGCGTATCTCTCACCTGAGTGTATGCCAGCGTCGGCGTCGGCGTCGGCGTCCTCGAATACGGAGGACTCGGTGCCCTCGTCGTTGTCCGCGATAGAATCGTCCGGTGTCTCGGTGTTCTCCTCCTTCGACGACCTCTCGCCGCCCCTGGCAGGCGTCGCGACGCCGCACGGACTGTCGAGCGACGCGTGCCTGCCGGACACCTTCACCAGCGTGCTGGTGCTCCTAGCCAACTTGGTGCTGTGAGTTCTGCGTATCAACAAGTTGGTGAACGTGCTGGTGCTCTGTTTGCCCCTGGCCTCCGAGCCGGTGATCTTCGCGGCGCCGTTCGACGACTTTCCCGCGTCCGGCTTCCTCCTCCTCGAGGAGGAGTCCTCGTCCTCCACCTCGAAATACGCGATCGTGTTGTTCAGACGGCTGTCCTTACGACTCGCGTCCTTCCTGCCGGTGAACCGGCTGTGAAACCTCTCGATCGTCTTGAACGACCTGGTCCTCTCGACCTTTTTCCTCTGATCGGAGCCTCCATTCGGAGCCACCTGTTCCACCGTTCCCTTCGAGGCCTCGAAGATCTTCGTCAACGACTGCACTTTGCCCCTCGACTCCGGGAACCCTGGCCCTTCCGCCTGCCTCGCACTCGACAGCGAGTCATTGTTGCTCAACGCGCGGGTTAATATCACCGAGTTGTTTGCCGTTGTCGCTTTTGTCGTTGTCAACAACGTGTTGTTGCTGGCGGGCTCGGTGCTCGTTGTTTTCGGGATCTTGGACGGTTGTCCGCGGCCGTCGGTGTCCAAAGACACGTAGAAGGTCGACCTCCGTTTCGGCGACCCGTTCTCGGCGGTGTTCTCGGCGTTCAACATGTCTCTCCTCGAGGATGCGACGACTCGCTCACATGTCACGATTCACCGTTATCACTCCACGTAGTAGTAGTAGTAATAGTAGTAATAATAATAATAATAATAATAATCGTTCAACGAAATCAGCCCATCACGCGCCTTCGACGACAACTCGCTCGACCACTGCACAGGTTACGCAATTATGGACGCGGCTTTAGGCCGCGATGTGGGATCGTTAAACACGTCACGCGTTCACCGTCGCGGCGGTTCCGCGGGGAAAGTTTACCGGAATGCACCATACGTGGTTTCTCGCCGCCATCGCATCGGTCCAACCGAATTCACTGAAATTCTCCTTCTTATTGCTCCTCGTTCTGCACGTGCTACGAGAGAGAGAGAGAGACAATTTCTTGCTCCCGAACGGTCCCCCTAAATATAGATGGCGGCTAGTATCGCGCTGCTTGCAGGAGCACGTGTATCGAGAAAAGCAAATACAACGATCGCTCTCTGTTGCGTGCGCCGCAACCGTACGGATAACGTGGCCAAGCGTTGAACCGTGGACACTATTTTTATTTATCGGCCGATGTTTTTCCCTCCTCGGTCGACTCGCGAAACTCTCGACTCTCGTTGCACAAATGCTCAAATCCACAGATCCGTTTTTTACTGATTGCCAGAGGAGCTTGCTCCTTGTCACCATTACCGATCTCACACGTTCACTCGACTCGATTTACAAGGCGTGTGTCGTCCGACGAGACGGTTCCAGGAATGTAGGAAATACCATCGGCGTGAACACACTACGGGCGCGTGCGTACGTGCTTGCACCGTTTTCGAAAATGAATCGCGCGATAAGGGGACGAGCTCCACGAGTGAGAGCCACTCAGAGTCTGCCTGGAATCGTGTTCACGGCCTCGATAGAAAGGCGATCGACTCGAAGCGGTCGACCAGGCACCACGTATAACACGAAGAAAAGTAAAAGGATCTGAGTCACGGCGAGATCGAGTCGGTTCGCGGCCAGTGAATGAGTTGGCCGTCATCGGTCGTTCGAGGAACGCGCGCCAATCTTTCGCGGACGAACAGCCGGCATTTCACCCGTTTTTTCCGAGATTTCCAACCGAGATGGTTTCCAACTATGCTGCACGCACGAAATCGCAACAGCACGGTTCACTCGAGTAAACAAGAACGGAGGAACACCGCGCGATCGTCCGCACGGCAGACGGGTTCACGACTATCTGTTCGTACTTGTCTCTGCCGAACGTCACCTGCGCGCCTCTCGCGGCCGTTTCGAGCAAACAACTCGAGACCGACTGGTGGTCGTCGCGCCACTCTCTGGCCAGTCCACAGACATAACATCGAGCGTGTCCAGATATTGTTCTTTCTTTCTTTGCCGTGAAGATTAGTAGAAATACATAATTCGAGTAAATGTTAATTGTCGGAGAAATGAATTGTCGCACTATGAAGCGTACAAAAATTATTTTATTTACAACATGTACGAGTAAATATTATTCGCGAATATTGCGATATATTTATATGTTAAAGCACTGCTTTAACACTAAACGTACCAAGCGGGGTCAAAC